TGACTGAGATGCAAGGGGGATAGAATCACAGAATGGTTTGGGTTGGAAGGGACCTTAAAGACCATCTAGTTCCAACCCCCCTGCCATGGGCAGGGACACCTTCCACTAGGCCAGGTTGCTCAAAGCCTCATCCAGCCTGGCCTTGAACACTTCCAGGGATGGGGCACCCACAGCTTCTCTGGGCAACATGTTCCAGTGTCTCACCCCCCTCTCCAGGAAGAACTTCTTCCTGATATCTAATCTAAACCTCCCCACTTTCAATTTAAACCCGTTCCCCCTTGTCCTGTCACTACAGGCCCCTGTAAAAAGTCCCCCCCAGCTTCCTTGTAGCCCCTTCAGGTACTGGAAGGTGCAATAAGGGCTCCCCGGAGCCTTCTCTTCTCCAGGCTGAACAAGCCCAACTCTCTCAGCCTGTCCCCATAGCAGAGGTGCTCCAGCCCTCTGAGCATCTTCGTGGCCTCCTCTGGACTCACTCCGACTGGTCTATATCCTTCTGATGTTGAGGGCTCCACAGCTGGATGCAGTACTCCAGGTGGGGGCCCACCAGAGCAGAGTAGAGGGGCAGAATCCCCTCCCTCGACCTGCTGGCCACACTTCTCTGGATACAGCCCAGGATACGGTTGGCTTTCTGGGCTGCCAGCACAGAAAGATAGTTCATGGCTGGGTTCGTTTCTGTGTTGTAAGTGGAAGCCTGTGACTTTTATGAAGTTTTTTAAGAGGCCAGGATTTGTTTTCTGGTTGTATCAGTCCTGCTAAATTAGGATTTGTGTTCTGCAAGATATTGCTGTGGACAGTGATGGAGATAATTGATGTGGATGTGTTTGCTGTTTCTGGAAGAAATGCTTCAGTTGAGTGTTATATAATTTCTCTCTAGACCTTGATCTATAAATATTTGAGCTCATGTTTAATTTGAATAATTCTATGAATTTGGCTGACACTTTTCAGAGACCCCAAAGCATGAGCTGAAAAGCTCTGCTGGGCTGCAGTCTCACAGCACTGCTTCCTCTTAGTCAAATCCACAGCTTCTGCAGTGGATCTGTTTAGCATCCTCTCCAGCAGTGAACATCTTAGAGAGGAGCCTGAGCTTCGAGATTTCTCCAGTGTTACAGTATTCAGGTCTTTTCCTGCTCGTAATTCTCCAAGCTGTTCTTCTGTGTTTCCTCTCTCTGAAGAAAAACTGAATATTGATAAAATATTGTTTGTGACAAAGAAAAGCTGGTTGATGAGGGCTTTTTTACATGTGATGCTATGTTACTTGTCCTCTGTCTACCTGCTCAGTGCACCAGATACCATCTCAACAGTTCTTTTCCTTTCCCATTCCCACCTTTCTGATCCTCTGCTCCCTTTCAGAAAAGAATTTTTTTCTGTTTGCTCATCCCTAGTAGAGTGTGATGAGGAATTCGGCAAAGCAGCTGGAGTCCCAGTGGTTGAACAGTTTAGTTTCCTGAGGGTCAGGACTAAAAATCTAGCAGTGCCCGCCTGACTCCAAGAGTTAGTGAGACCAAAGATCTCTTGACATCTTTCTGTGAGCGATCAACAGCCAGTTAATTCAATGGTAAGTGATGTAGCCAAGATGCCATTTATGGAAACCCAGGGCTTGTTTCTGTGCTTTAAAGAGGGCATTTCTTTACAGGGCTTCCCTTTTTCTTCAGACACCACCTGCGTTTACAGTGTGGCTCACCTCAGGCACCTTTACAAAACTGCACCTTAGTTTTGAAGTTCTGACAAGGGATGGGCCAAGTGAACATGCAATTGTCATGCTCTTCACCTGATGCAAGACCTGGTGATCATTCAATTCCTGCCACTGGCTCCCGGGCAGCAATGTTGGGGTGGGCTCCACTGGTTCTTCAGCCACTCAAGTGAACATGCAATTGTCATGCTCGTCACACGCAGGACCTGGTGATCATTCAGTTCCTGCCACTCGCTCCCGGGCAGCAACGTTTGGGTGGGCTCCGCTGGTTCTTCAGCCACCCTTCCCTGCTCAGCCCAACCTCTTGTCCAAGCCTCCTCCCAAGGGTCTTGGTGTCTTAATGTGCTCTACTTCCCATTCATGTGCTTTCTTATCACGTCAGCTGCAGGTGCTGAATGAGGAGCAGGGAAAAGGGAAAAGCAGGGATTGCTCCCGCTGACTGTAGCAGAATTTTGCCCAAGAAAGGCAGGGTAAATATTTCCACTGATTAATAAGTTTTACAGCCTCATCTCCATACTGTCTGTCTTAAGAACTCCACGTTTGAGCCCAGAGTTCAAATGATTTCTCCCTCTCTCTATTATACTCACTGTTTAATTATGCCTCAAATTCCTGATTAGTTGCTGGTTTTAGTTGGGATGGAGCTAATTTTCTTCACAGTAGCTAGTATGAGGCTGTGTTCTGGATTTGTGTGAGACTGTGTTTTGGATTTGTGCTGAGAACAGTACTGATAACACTGATGTTTTTAATTGCTGCTGAGGAGTGTTTGTACCAAGTCAAGGACTTGTGGGGTGCCAGAAGGGCCACGTGCTGGTCATTGTCTGCAGGGTGCTGGATTGTGTGTTAGGAAGGGCACATCTGCCACGAACATAAGCAATGTCTCCTCCCAGGGCAAGGAGCCAGTCAAAAGAAAGGATGCATGGGAAGGGCAATGAGGACAAGATACCTGTCATTTTGCCATGGATTTACCTGTCTGATGAATTACCATGGTCTGAAAAGAAGCCCACTGGCTGATGAACGGTCACATTGTGTGGCCATATCTGTAGGGACTGAGCACATTTCCTGGCCTGGCAGGCAGGGACTGGCTCGTGAGGAGCTGAGCTGGGGTTTGGGTTTGGCTGGGTTAATTTTCTGTGGGTCACTCCTGCAGAAGCTCAGGCTACTCCTCTATGCTACTTCACCCTTTGAGGAAAGTCATTCCCTGTGCAATTTGGGGGAGGGCTGAGGGCTGTTCTGGCCTGTCAAGTGAGCACCCCTGTGCTGTGAAGCCCTGTCTACCAGAGGATAAAAGTCCTCAGCCCTTCTCAGCCCGGCTGCTGGACGCAGTTGTGCCAGTATGGCTGCGTTTCATCAGCAGGCGCTGACTGGGGCTTTGTGGGTTTTCCCTGTTTCAGAAAACACCTGGGAGAAGGGGAACTGAATGCCAATAGGGTGAAAAATTCCTTGGCCTGCAGTGATTCCTTGTAGTGTATAAGTGACTGAAAGGGAACCAGGAAAGGGAGCAAGTTTGGCTTTTGCCATTGGAGTGAAAAATCTTACCAAAGTCTCTGGGCTCCTGAGAAACATGCCAGTGCTGGTTAATTGGAATTTCTCCTCAAGCAAATCTTCCTGGGAAACACCCTTCAGCTTGGATAGACACCACCAAGACATGAATAGGAGAGAGCAAATGTTTTCTGGCATTTTTTTAAGCATGAAGTGTCCAGCTGTGTGTCTGGATGTGACATGTAGGTGCTTGTAAGCATATAGGAGTCATCTAAAAGTGCTGGGTGAGCCATGTTTCAGCTTCAGTGCTGAGGGCAGCAGTCACTTAAACAGGAACTGGTGGTGCCAAGGGGCCTTGTACTGCCCCACAAGGCTTGCTTCGGGGTGCCTGTACCCACCTCAGCTGCTGACAGAGGGCACAGGTGCAGCAGGCTGGAGCTGTACGTGCGGAAGGCGGACAGTGTCACCATCAGCACATTCTGCTGTAATTCAGTGAGCATGGCCTATCAAAGCCCTGGCAAACTCTGTATCAGGGCCAGTTGCAGTAATCAGCTTGTGTACTGCCCCACAAGGCTTGCTTCGGGGTGCCTGTACCCACCTCAGCTGCTGACAGAGGGCACAGGTGCAGCAGGCTGGAGCTGTACGTGCGGAAGGCGGACAGTGTCACCATCAGCACATTCTGCTGTAATTCAGTGAGCATGGCCTATCAAAGCCCTGGCAAACTCTGTATCAGGGCCAGTTGCAGTAATCAGCTTGT